ACGCAGAAGAACTCCGTACTGAAGGAGCGGTAGAACTCGGTACCGGGACTTCCAAGGAACTCGACACCGGAGTTTCAGAAGAAGTCGACACGGGAGCCTCGGAAGAACTCACACCCGGCCTCCGATTACTTCAAAAAGATCAAGACTAAAAGTCAAGACAAAGAAGAGAAATTCAATGCAGCAGGAATATGAAAAGCAACTCACCGCCGCATGATGAGGGGTACTTCATCATCTTCTTCATCCTCAGCCAAGGAAACCAGAGCACCTGCTGAAAAGAGGATAAAAAGTAATCGGATCATGAGAGAGACAAGAAAATAAAAGAACAAAGAGTATTAAATGTGCTCACCTAAGAGCATGCTAGCAACAACTGGAGTACCTGAGAGAGTACTTGGTTTGCGAGGCTTCTTGGAAACAGGCAGGCCAGATGAAGACCCATCCGTTCGCCCCCTCTTCGGGACACTACGAGGACCGCGAGGGACTAGACGAGGAACATATTCTTCATATACATCAACAAATCCGGAAGAAACCCCAGAAAGGGCGGTAGAGGTTTGGGACTTACTAATTGCAGAAGTTCCAGCAAGTCTATCTCCAGTCTCCGCCACGGCGGGGAAAGCGTCAGGAGAGACCGGGTCGACAAAGTTCCGCCCAAACTCCTGCGAAAAAGGATAAAACACCGAGACAAAGAAAAGCTAAGCAAGAACGAATGCAGCTAGAGTGCATAAAGTACTCAAACAAAAAGATAGACAACTCACAGCTGGGGGCGGGTTGTTGGCTGAGAACTCGGTGATAGCAGGAGGAATGACGCTCACCCCTTTCAGCATCTTCTGGAGACGCTCGAGTACCTCCTCACCGGTCAGCTCAAGAGCTGGGACCATGCGTGAAGGATCCTCGGCCCCGTAATACTCAAAGCCAAGATGCTCCCGCTCTTTCAAAGGTGAACCCGCTGACGAAGAAAGCTCGAAACAATACCAAAGCCGGTCAAACCTCGCTTTGCTTCAACATGCTAATCCTAAAAGGAGTAATTTGGATCACTTGAATCTCAAAGAAGCGATTCAAGCTTCTTATCCCATCGGTCATTCACCACAGGACCAGATCCGGGATGAATGGCAAGGGAAGGATTAAATTGGCGGCAGAAACCACTCAAAGACGCCAATCTTTTATAGAATCGACCAGGTCATAGTCAAAAACTTAATTTTGAGACCTCGACAAAGCTGAATCCAGAACCGCCAAGAACGCCTGGTTTCTTCACGGCGGGGTTGAGGTTTCAGACGAAAGAAAAAGCGAAAAAAGAGACAGAGAAGGAGGATTTCAAGGAAAGCTTCGCAAAGATGAACGAAACAGAAAGATGGAGAATGGCATTGGGGTTAGGTGGTTCAGACTAATCCCGAAATAACCAAGAAACCGATGAAGGAAAGCGAAGCAGAAGGCAAAGTCCGACGCGGACAAAAGAAACGAAAAGGACAATCTCACCAGGACCCGGAGCTGGAACCCGATGCTCACCCGGAACTCTCCATTCAGCGATGACTTTGCTTTGGATCAAGCTTATCGCTAACGAGCTCGCAACCTGGTCTTCGTTGTTGTTGGAGCCGGCCAAACCTTTCGAAAGCACCCTCATAGCCACGAACTCCCCGGTTTTCGATCAAAGAAAGGGATGACTCCTCGTCTATGAAGGTCGCTTCGAGACTTGCTTTATGTTTTCTTTCTTTCCCATGAACTGGCGGAAGCAAAAGAGGCGCTAAAGAAAATGTAGGATGATGGTGCTCGGGTTACGGCGACGGTGACGGCGGCGGATTTCTGAAAGCTAGGGTTTAAAGGCAAGAGTTGGGCAGCAAAGGGTCTTTAAATAGATTTCTCAGTGATACAAACGGCCCACAAGGCCTGATAAAACACAATGTGGGAACGCGACGGTCCATTTACCGACGCGCACTAAAACGATGGAGGCACAAATCCACACAACAAAGACAAACCAACAGGCAGATTTCAGACTTATCCGTCCAAAGACCACGGCGGGGTTATCGATCGCTACAAGAACAACTCGTCAAAACAAGAAGAAAGAAAGAAGAAAGAAAAGGCTACCTCACAAGGAGGAAAAAAGAACCCGGTTATTTAAGAAAGAACCCGGTAATCTCATGGACAACGGGATCATAATGAAAAGTAAAAGACAACTCAGAAGACAAGATTCGTTACATTACAAGCAGAAGATTACAAATCTTAAAGATAAGATTCGTTACATTACAAGCGACTTCAAAAATAGAAGATTACAAATCTTACAAGACCCAACAAACTCGGCACCACGAAAAGCAAGGTAGCAAAGAGGAACGCGGACACGGCTAGGCTCTGGAATGACTACGTGTCCCAAATTGCTACTCGGAAGGACAAACCGCCATCAGCTACACTGTTTTCTTCAAAGGAAGGACGCAGTGCACTCAAGGCGGAAATCGGCAGCACGGCAGGACAACATGGAGCAGAGAAGGCCGGCGGGCATCTGTCTACCCAAGACCGATGTGATACTGCATATGGTGTTGATCTGCGCCGGACAGTCTCAAGACAGGCGACGAGGATCAATCCAGAACGGCCAGATGAAGAAACGAAGCCCACATCACAAGACTTCCTCCAACTACCACCACATACATCCTGGCACAATGCTGTCGCGGGATTAGCCTACCTCTAATCCCTATCACAAGACTTCCTCCAGCTACGACAAGACACACATGAACTACAAAATATGCCCGGGGGCTGCTCTACTTCACAAACTACCATGCTCATGTCCACGAAGGTTTCAACGGAATATCCAATAGATGAAAACAAGCACTCTGGGACAGTATTTATAGACCAAAGGAGCGGTGCACATGGACCAGGAGTACCAACGAAATAAACCTGACAAAGGACACAGTGAAAGGACAGGACTGAATAATGGACGACTCAGGCGAGAAGAAAACAGTACTCGAAGACGGGCATATTCGGAAGAATATACCATCACAGTACAACCCGTGAACAAAAGGCATTTACACTCAACCACCACCATACAACTACATCTGACAGCAGCAAACTATCAAAGAATACGCCAAGACCTCGCATCCGAGTTCTTCCTGAACAAAACAACACGGATATACGCTCGGGGGCTCGGCCAGCATCATAGCTTAATCAACACTAAGCTAGGGAATTCGGCCCTCATTTCAACTACTCCCGGGGGCTCAGAACCAAAGACAAAAGACAAAAAGTACAAGAAACTCAAGACTACAACGACGACGACGCATCAAAACTCTTCATCCGACTTCTTTTCAAAAGAAAAGAACTCGGAGAAAGCACGAGGCTGCGGGATACATAGTCCCAGAATTTTTTGAAGATAGGAATCTGGACCCTCCAACTTTTGCAAGCAAAAGCAAGAGGCTCGGGGGCTACACTCAGTGAATGCAATTTTTATGAAAAATTGCACCCACCAAAAAAGAACCCGGACATAGGCTCGGAGGCTGCACGCCGCGAAACTACTCGGATGATGGTTTAATCCAAGACTAAAGGACCGCTTCGGAAAGATACCACAAAAACTACTCGGATGATGACAAAATTCAAGTCTCCGAGACTACTTCAGAGCACAGATTTTCAAACAACATAAAGGATCAAGACCCTCCAACTTTTTGTTCCAAATAGCAAGAGGCTCGGGGGCTACACTCAGTGAGTGCACTTTTTCTCCGAAAAAGCGCACGTCACCAAAAGACTTCCTCAACGCAGACCACTTCAAGACATTACGACAAAAAGAACCCGGAACGAGCCATATTCGAGTTCTTTTTGACAAAACTTCAGCGAGCAATCAGAGCAACTTCAAGAAAAGATCCTCCAGCTCCTTGTTCCAAATAGCAAGAGGCTCGGGGGCTACAACCAGATAGATGTACTTTTTCTTCACAAAACACTCACCACTCGAAGGTCCCAAGAAGCGCTACAAGGTTTCACTCCAGAAAGCACTCGGATAATATTTTGTTCCTATCTAACAAGACCTGAAGGAGCAAAGCGAGACTTTCAGAGTTCAACCATGAAGTGCTCGGGGGCTTGTCGATGTGGGACCTATAGGATACCCCGCAAGAGAGATAAAAGATCTAGTTCAACTAGGATTCTTCCCATGTAATCTTAAATAGTAGAACTATTAAGTAATCCTACTAGGAAATCTCATTGTAAACCGACTAGGACTCTGGCCTCCTGATAATATAAAGGAGGGCAGGGCTCCTGAAAGAGAGAACAACAATGGTACAACATAACACTTCATAATCAATCCAACGCAAAAGGCAAACGCCGACTGGACGTAGGGTCGTTACTCGATCTACGATCGAGGGCCTGAACCAGGATAAATCGACTGTCTCTTGTGTTCATCATCGAGTTCAGCATACGCCGAAACCCGAACGATACTGCCACGGTACCCCTGTGGCAGGCTATCGGTGGTAAAACATCAACACCACCTTGATGCTAGTAACTTTTACTACTTTCTATATTTTTAAAGTGCAATCATTACTTGTTGGTATTACTTTTGATAAGCATATATGAAATTTTATAGTAGCGTTGGTCTTTCCCAGCATCCTAGAAGTGCATTTATTTCGGGACTTTTAGGCTTCCTTTGGAACAAAGAACTTTTTTCTGTCTTGTATGTTTTTATGTCAAAATGAACTGATTATCGTGAAATTTCTGTATTTCTATAAAATTTCTAAGTTCCAAATAAGTTATTAATATTTTCCTTTTCCAAATCTGAGAGAAATGTGCCTAGAGGTTGAACAGAAGGTACCAAAAATGTAATGATACTTTACTCTGCAAATTTCAAACTAAATACACTTTTTTTTAACATGAACTAAAGACACGTAGACGTGCCATTCTCCATTTCGGATACTTCTGGAAGTTTCCAGCGGTTACCCACCGGCTCCCACGGCACCGCAGAAACACGGCGCGGATTCTTTGCACCTGCCGTTTCTCCTCTCCACCGCCATCGTAGTTCCTTAGCTCCGTTTCCAAGAGTAGCTATGGAGCTCGATCTGCCGCCGCAACCGGCCCCGCCACTCACAGACCTCACCGCCGCCATCCACCGAGCCGCGGCGGCCGCGGCCGCGCTCTCAGCCCCCGCGCCCTCCTCCCATGCCGCCGCCGCGGTGTCCGCCCTCCGCGACGCCCACGCCGCCATCGGTTCCTTCCTCTCCCGCCTCGACGCATCGTCCGGCGATGATCAGCCCATGGCGGACAGCGGCGAGGAGCTGGAGGAGGATGGGGAGGGGGCGCAGATGGTCGGGGAGGTGGAGGAGGGGCTCCGGGACTGCGGCCTGCTGGGGAGCAAGCGGCGGAAGCGTCCTGTGCCGCCTTCATGGCCCCTAGGGCGCCGCTCAAGCAGCAGTTCCGAAGCGGCGGCAGCCGCCGCGGCGCCGGTGCTGGACGTCGAGGGGCGGCGGCGCGCGGCCATGGATCTCTTGCTGCAGTTCCATGCGTGATGCGGGAAGGAAGGTCGTGTTTTGATTTGGTAACGGGAACTTAAAGGCCCCGTTTAGATTCAAAAATTTTTAGGTTTTGACTACGGAAGTATTTTCGTTTGTATTTGGCAATTAATGTCTAATTATAGACTAATTAGGTTTGAAAGTTTCGTCTCATGATTTCTCATCCAACTGTGTAATTAGTTTTTTTTCGTCTATATTTAGTACTCTATGCATGTGCCGCAAGATTCGATGCGATTGATATTGCGCAAAAAATTACATGCCCTTAGTTGTCTGCGTCAGCATTAAATGTAGAAATCGTGAAAATAGTTTGGAATTTCTGGGTATTTTTATTACTAGATAGATATCGTTCATGGTTAGTCGGAGCTGGACGAGAAAATTGGAAATTTGCCCTTATGCTAGGTGGCCTTCCTCCAAATGCCATCAAGTCTGTGGGATTCACTTAAATGTCCTTATAAAACGAGTCCAACACGTTATAATGTCATTTTGAAATTTAAGTTCACTTTTAATAAATTTTAGCCTAAACTAACCGTTTTGCCTCTGAGTGAGCGCTCGACCCGCGTGGTCTGAGCGACGCAAAGCAGAGAGGAACGGCGGGTCTGCACCGCCCGCTCCTGGCACGGTGTAGGAGGCCACCAGGAAAGCATCGAAGCACACGACAGAGGGAAGAGGCTCACGGCACCGGGCTCAGCTCGATGCCTCACCGCTCGGCTGAGAGAAGAAAGCCGCGACCTAGAAGGAGGAGACGCCAGTGGTGGGGAACATAATCACCATCCATAGCTGGAACTTCAACACCATGTTTATCGCAAAATGATGTGACCTTCTCAAGAAAATTATCCCAACCATCATACCTCAATTTTTTGCATTCTTTTCTTTGCCACATTAACAAGTGATATTGCATTAAGAATATCTTGGTTCCTTCTTTGCAAACACTCAGATAACTCATTTGTATATCAAGAATAATATACATTAAGTGTGCAAAGAAAACAAACTCAAAGTTCTCAAATGCTCCGGTCACAAAATGTATTTTGGTCCAATCATTCTTATATGCAATCCTTATATGCAGGATCATCCCCAAGATCAACCAGTACATCATGGATTGCTTCATACATAGTAATGATGCTGCATAAGACGCTACGAACAGAAAGGAGAAGGGAGCTCGAACGCAAGAACAGGAAACCAGCGGCCACAAAATCGACGAAAAACTGGACCAAATCAAAACAAATCGTGACCAAACTTTTCACAGGCCATCACAAGGGAGTTGGTGAGCATACTATAAGAGATCATCGTCCAATTTCAACCCAAACTCCGAGAAAATTAGATCACAGCCAAGAACACGAAAAACTCCTCAAAAACGAAATTCGTTCAATTTCTTCGTGCTCGACTCGATTCAATCAAATTCACTTAAGGGGTAGCATCAACTCATGTCATAGCACGAATCTGAGCAAAAAAGAACGAACTAAATCGGTCTCAAAATGAAGAATCGAAGCAAGAATGGGAGAGGGAAAAACTGAGAAAAAAAGCTGCAAAAATAAAATCACAGACACAATCCCTTGAATCCCACACAGAGGTGTTAATTTGATCTCATCAATGGAGACTTTTTCATCTTTGAGATAAGTAGTGTTATTGCCAATCGGTGCCGTCCTTTCACAGATAAACACAGAGAAGGCAAACATTGGAACAACAGGCATTCTAGGCCAAATCCTAGAACACGAATCGAAGTCATCGAAGGGATGAATCAGAGAGGCAAAAGCAAAATCCCAAAATACAAGAGGAAACGGGAGCACTTGAGACTGCTATGTGCCAACCGCGGCACCGCCGAGACCCACCGGCACCGAGCACGAGCACCATGAGCGGCCACAGCAGGAGAGAGGGAGAGGGGGAAAGATGAGGACGACTGGCCTGCAAGGCCATGCCTCTGCCCTGCGCCGGCCGCGGCGAGGCGCTCTGCCTTTCCCGCGAGCGAGAGAACGAGAGGGGGAGAGTGAGAGGGCAGGGGTCAACGAGCTCAGGGGCAAAATGGTCAGCTCAGGCTAAAATTTTGGGTGAAAAATATTAAAAGTGGACTTAAATCTCAAAATGGCATTATAACGTGTTAGATTCGTTTCATAAGGGCATTTTAGCGAAGCCCACAAACTTGATGGCATTTGGACGAAGCCCACCTGGCATGAGGGCAAATTTCCAATTTTCTCGAGCTGGACAGTTAGTGGTGTCGATGTGATAAGAGCTATGGCGAGAAAACGATATAGTGCTTTTCTCTCACAACAAAACAGCATCAGCCGGCTTATTAGTCACAGAAATGATCAAGCGAACAGGAATGTACTCAAATTTCACCAACTTCCAATGCTCCCTCATGTGCAAAGTAGGCTGTGCAAGTGACACTGGATTGAAACACACATCTTTATGGTGCTACTAAAATTTTGGTTGGCGCTAAATTTACATTAGCCAAATTGGAGCTTGATCTCTGAAATCTAAGAACTGCACGGCTGCTAGCATTATATGGCAAGTAGTTGCTAACACACCTCGACGACTTTGTCCAAAGTTTAGTAAAACCTAGAAGCAAGAAATGCATATTTGGCTGTTGTGAAAGTAGATGAGCTTTGTCTGTATTAAACGAGTGACAAAGTTAAAGGAGTTAGCAGGTAGTAGGTTGTACTAGGTTATGTTTGGATCCTACCAAAATTAGTGTGCTACTCGTAACTCTTTTAGCACTTGCTAGCAACATCCATCTGCTAATTCTTGCTAGTAGCTAGCACACCTATTAGTATGTGGCCTATTTAGATCCAGGTCTACTAATTTTTAGTTGCTAGCTATTAGTACGTGGTGAGTCCTCCATGTTGCTAATAGCAACTAAAAATTAGTGGTATGAATCCAAACAGGCTATCTACTAAGAGGTATGCTAACTACTAAAAAAATAGCAAGGTCAATGTTGGTAGTAAGTGCTAAGAGTTAGGATGCTAATTTCAACATGATCCAAATAGAGCTAGTAAAGTAGTGTGCTGACAGGGAAATCTTTGGAGATCATAGTAAACATTTTTTGAGGAAAGATCATAGTAAACATTGAATCACATAAGCAGGGGCATATGTTCTGGCTAATATTTGTGGATTCGTGTTGCTACGGACATTCTTTATCTAAATTTTTCTCATGCTTGTGTCAGCAACCTATGCAATATTCATAGGCTATAGCATGCTACATTACAGAATACAGAGTTCTTAGATGTTGGTGCTAAATAAATCTTTCCTGTTTATGAGCTCATCTGTTAAGCGATAGATAACATTGTGTCTACATGTTCCTCTAGCACGATTACTGGGGTCTGGGAAGTGGGTATTTGCAACATTATCTCAACTTTCCGAGCTGGATAACCACATCCGTCAGTACTTAGCTGAAGATATGCTAATGATATTCATTTCCTAGGGCAGCTAGTAACACTTTCCTGTTGTTTACTACTAATGCTAATTTGCTCCAGTGAATTTCAGGAATGGGTTTACAAGCCCCATAGAACAAATCACAACAGTGCGGGAGCACGTTTTGGATGTCCTTCACATAGATGCAGACAATCAAAAGAAACAGAAGATAGGGAATGTTAGCCCAGAGTGAGACAGATAGGAGTTGGTAGTAGTAAATCCTTTCTCTCAGTTCAGCTGTACTGCTTTCTTTTTGGTAGTAGTAAATATACCTGTACGAGTAGACTGACGGTTGCTTTCTCAACATTTTATATCGTTGTAATTGCAATTAGGCTTTGTTTAGTTCGCGGTTAGGAATTAGTATTCGGCACTGTAGCATTTTCGTTTGTATTTGATAATTATTGTTTAATCATGGTCTAACTAGATTCAAAAGATTCGTCTCGTAATTTACAATCAAACTGTATAATTAGTTATTTTTTTTATCTATATTTAATACTCCATGCATGTGTCCAAAAATTTGATGTGATAGAGAGAGTGAAAAAATTTGGAATCTAAATAAGGCCTTGGTGTTGCACAATAATGTCCAGCAAAAACTCGTTCACGGGTAGCATGTTGATAAGTTTCGATTCATCATCTTCTGATTTCTGAATTCTGAATTCGAGTGGACATCTAATTGAGGTTCGGCAAATGCTCCACTGGTGCACCGTATATCTTCACTGGCAGTCCGTGAGTGATGATACTATGTACATCAGCGTCCGTTTCCTCGAGGCTCGAGCAGTCGAGCTTGACAAAATCAAAGCTCCCACCTACCTCGAGACCCCGGCCGCGAGGAGGAGAGCGATGCTAAACCACCATGGCGATCCCTCTCCTCTTGCTCCTCCTCGTTCTCTCCTCTGCTTCAGCGGATGAGTACGGGGACGAGCTGCTGCGGCGCGCGTGGGGGGAGCGGGAGTGGATGGTGAGCGTGCGGCGGCGCATCCACGCGCACCCGGAGCTCGCGTTCCGGGAGCACCGCACCGCAGCCCTCGTCCGCGAGGAGCTCGAGCGCCTCGGCCTCCCCATCCGCGCCGTCGCCGGAACGGGCGTCGTCGCTGATGTAGGCTCCGGGGCGCCCCCCTTCGTGGCTCTCCGCGCCGACATGGACGCGCTCCCGCTCCAGGTCCCTCGCGCTGTCCCCCTTCCTGAAGCTTCTCATGTTCCGCTTGGGTCAGATAGTATCTTGTGTTGTGTCTCCACTTCTCTAATCGGAACCGTTCCGGGGGAAAATTAGGATGGCAGCTGCTTCGCTGAATTGATGTCATTCTGTTGGCCCCGACTGTAGGAATTAGTGGAGTGGGAGCACAAGAGCAAGGTGGACGGAGTGATGCACGCCTGCGGGCACGATGTCCACACAGCGATGCTTCTGGGGGCAGCAAAGTTACTCAGTCAGCGTAAGGATCAGCTCAAGGTGTGTATTTCCATACAAATCTCTTTCATGTACGACAGAACGAGTTGTTCAAGAATTGGGGTTCTGTTTCAATTTCTGAGCTAAGGTAGTTAAGCAAAGTGCCTGACCTTTGTTTGAATCCTCATATACAGCATGCCATTTTAACTAGTGTGGCAATACTGAATATGAACAACTCACAGGCAGTGAACATCCTGATTTCTTCCATAAAAAAAACATCCTGATTTCAGTTGTGGTAATTTTGTTTAGGAGCAGCTCCAGAATCGTATGATGGTTTGTCTTGTATTCTGAACTGAGTTAGTCTAATATAGATAATTAGTACTCGCTTCTAGAGGAGGCTACTGCTAAATGGTTTAGCCCACTTTTTACAACCTTGCTTCAGATTTTTCAAAAAAAAAACCTTGATTTTATATGGAGTAATTAATTAATTGATACTTATTACTGTGAAGGGAACAGTGAGACTCCTTTTTCAACCTGCCGAGGAAGGTGGTGCAGGTGCATCTCATATGATAAGTGAAGGGGTTCTGGATGGTGTTGAAGCCATATTTGCAATGCATGTTGACTATCGGATACCAACTGGTGTAATAGCAGCTCACCCAGGACCAACACAAGCAGCTGTATGTTTCTTTGAAGCAAAAATAGAAGGTAAAACTGGGATGGCTGAAACCCCACACTTAAATGTGGATCCTATTGTCACTGCATCATTGGCCATCCTGTCCCTGCAGCAGCTTATTTCCAGAGAAGATGATCCTCTTCACAGCCAAGTATGATACTGCTTTTGATAATAGTATTTTACTTTGTGGATTTCTTTAGCATGCTGTAGAAAGGCATTGCTCATAAATCAAGATTAGAAACTACAATGAAATAAATATTTTGCTTGTAGACAGTTAACTGAGGCTTGGTTTGGTAGTCCCTTTACGGTTGACTACTAGTATACCCTGTTGATAAAGATTAAGCATCAGCCCGCGCAGACTGCATAATAGTTGTAAACTTGTAATAACGTTTTGACTCGGCCAGCTGCTAGTTCATCCTTTTTCTCAGATAAAAGGATTGTTTCCAGCAGATAAAACCTTGTCTTGAGCCCTTGATTCTGCATTTGTTCCAATGTGTATTTTGGGCACCCACCATGTTGCTGATTTCATGCAGACTAACTTAGGGCGATTTGGAATCTATTTTTATTTACTACTAAATTATGTTAAAGAAACCTCAATTGAGGGCATAACAGTCATGTTTACACATTGTACTCATTCTAGTTTTTTTTTTCTTGAACATGCATGAGAGCTGCATATCATTATATTAAGAAGAACAAGGGGCAGGAACCCTTACTCACTTCTAGACTTCTAGTTGAGAGGTCGTCTGTTTCCTTCATTAACAGTGAACTCCATAGTCGGTCTATTCTGGAGTGACTAACCTGAAGGGAATATCGATGTTTTTTCTTATATTGATGCTATTGGTGAAAATCTTGGACATAAATTCCATAAAATCCTTTTGACGATTTATGTTTATTTCGTTCAGGTGGTCTCGGTTACCTATGTGAAAGCTGGAAAAGCCCTTGATGCTACCCCTGACGTCGTTGAATTTGGAGGTACTTTGAGGAGCCTCACCACTGAAGGCCTTTATCGTCTGCAGAGAAGGGTTAAAGAGGTTAGTAAAATCATGTATTATGCATGATTTTGTTTGTTGTTATTTATTTTATTGTGATACAGATGTCTTCTAAATGAGCTAGCACATTCAAAGCATTGTGGCACAGATGCATTTCCTTCGCAATAGCTTTCAAACTACTTATGCAATGAATGGTATTAGTATTATAGACCTGTAACTACCCCATAAGCCCATAGAAACACATGGTTCCACTTCAGTGTTATTCTGGTATGCCTGAACACAAAGTTAGCAACTCATGTTTTTCTTTATGTGAGTAGTCCATGGCAATGTTCTTATTCTTGTCAAAGTTGAATTAGTGTTCCCCTTTCAAAAGTAAGCAACAGTATTTACCTAATTCTCAGAATAATGGATGCTTCTAATAAATAGTAACTCTACAATTAATAGGATTCACATATTCAGAAAGAAATGGGAATTCACCATTTTTCAGGTAGTAGAAGGCCAGGCTGCAGTACATAGATGCAAGGGAGCCGTTGATATGAAGAGTGAGGACTACCCAATGTACCCTGCTGTTGTGAACGATGAGAAGCTGCATCGCCATGTAGAGGATGTCAGCAGACGCTTGCTTGGCCCGGACAAGGTGGAGCCTGGAGAGAAGATCATGGCAGGCGAAGACTTTGCTTTCTACCAGCAGCTGATTCCCGGTGTTATGTTTGGCATCGGAATTAGAAACGAGAAAGTTGGCTCCGTTCACTCAGCTCACAACCCTTATTTCTTCGTTGATGAGGACGTCATTCCACTTGGTGCTGCTTTGCATAATGCAATCGCAGAACTTTATCTCTCTGAGGCATCTGCTGTGTACGAAGGAGGGGACTTGCAGTCGCATTCACAGTCTTGAGCTGAAAAGATGGTTGAAATGTAGACTTACGTATAACATTGACCATACCTGGTGCATTTTCTCTGATAATTGGGGGTTTTTTTTCCTCTTGAGTAACTTGCTCTGATAATTGGTTTGAAGTACACATGCATTTTCTCAGTCAACCGTGATTCTGCCAAAGGATTGTGCAGCTTTGCGATTCTTGTATCAGAATGTAATTGGCAATCTCCATTTTTCCAGGTAGTAGAAGGGCAGGCGGCTGTACATAGGTGCAAGGGAGCTGTTGACATGAAGGTTGAGGACTACCCAATATACCCAGCTGTTGTGAATGACGAGAGGCTGCATCGATACGTAGAGGATGTCGGCAGAGGCTTGCTTGGCCCTGGCAAGGTGAGACCAGGGGAAAAGATCATGGCCGGAGAAGACTTCGCTTTCTACCAGCAGCTGGTTCCCGGTATTATGTTTGGCATCGGCATTAGGAACGAGAAAGCTGGTTCTGTTTACTCAGTTCACAACCCCTATTTCTTCGTTGATGAGGACGTCATTCCTGTTGGGGCTGCTTTGCATGCTGCGATTGCAGAACTTTACTTTACTGAGGGCTCCTCTCTCAACAAAGACTCGTAGCTTCTCGCTCGTGCGGTTGATCTTTGGGTTGAATAAATATAATTGACATGTACAAATGCATTGTAAAAGTTTTTTTTCTTTTCTTTTGCAAAATTGTGACACAAAACAATGCGACGTCATTTTGAAGCAGAGCTCTACTTGACTACTTCCCTGACGGACGCTGCATTTCAGGCGACCATGATCTCTGGTGGCCAATCAGATCTGAACATCTGATCCACCGTGGTGATTAGCTCCCCGCGGCCTGCATCAACCTCCAACTATTGTTTTCCCCTCTTTAAACAGAAACACTACAAGGTTCCCAATCCTATATTGAAGGGTTTCTGAGCAACTCTACAAGATCTCTTATGTTATATCTCCTATACCATAAGTTGTTTCATCTCCTATAAATTGTTATATAAGAGTACATTAAAATTAATTTAGGATATAATACAACATTTATTACCTAAAATATAAGATATACACAATATAAGAGATTTTTTCAAGGACAGGCAGATTATCCCAGTGTTAGTGTATCTTTTCAATCATCTTAGCTAGAAATAAGAGACATCATACAGAGATTAATTGTCCCCCTAGTCAGTGTATTTTCAAACATCCAAATAATATAGCGTCCTCAATGTCCAAAATACTTTACCATTCCGCTGGCATCTATGCTTAGGAATTTTTGCTCCACTTATATCTACCTCAATTTATACCTAATGGGACCTTGTTTCGGTTGACGTGTATCATCTCAGTCAAGTGTGGTTTAGTGGGGTGGAATCTACTCCAACTTACATGGACGGAGGTGAATACATATACATTCAAACAAGTCCTGTAGTCGATTTGGCTCCAGCATTCTACTCAATCTATATATAATAAAGTAAATTAAATAAAAATTAATTAAATTTTTTGTCTAAATCATTCTAATACATAGGGATTAAGGCCGTGTTCGGCTGGTCAACTTCGGCTGGCTGGCCGGCCTTTTTTTTCAGCCGGAGCAGTGTTTTTCTCTCACCAAATTCCAGCATAAACAGTATTTTCCTGCTGCTACAGTGCAAATTTAATGCCAGCCGAAGACTCCGATACAAATACAGCCAATCAACGACTCAAATCGCTGATCACGTGGACTGTCCATCCATTCCATTACTATCAAACAGTAGCTTTGTCAGGTCGGTGATGCTACACCTAGATCCGTAGCCTGCCAAGCAATCACATTTCATACGCACACGCGACCCTTGCCCCTTGCCTCAATCTAACGCACTACTAGCGCGGTAGAGCTCTGGCCGCAGCTAAAACAGTTTCGGTTGTGATTTTATCAGTGGAGCAGATTTATTTAGAAAGCTAAAGCAGTTTTTTTTGATGTTTGGTAAAACAGCTTATGGTTGAAGAGTGAGAAATGTCTATAACGCCCTCCTTTTATTTTTTATTTTATTTCTTTATTTTCTTTCTCACTTTATTTTTCCTCTCTCTCTCTCCTCGTCCTTATCTTCACAGCCAACGTACTTTTCATCCTTATCTTCTCCACCAGGCAACGGAGAACGGACGCACGCCTGCACTGTTCGTCTTCCTCGCAGCGTTTCTCCGAATCCTGACCTCCCTCACCTCCAACTCGTCTTGGCGTTCGCACGGAGGATCCACAGAGGAGGCGCGCGCCCGCGCTCGTTCTCCGACGGCGCCTCGCCATTGCGGCCCGTGCTTGCGCTCCGACGCAGCTCGCCGTCGCGTCCTCCAAGGGGCCGCCTCGCCGCGCAAGGAAGAAGAAGGCAGGGGCATCCACGACCAAATACACTATGGGCCCACGCGCGCCTGACATAGAGCCGATGGGAGCTGCATTTTTTGGCTTCACCTGCCAAAACCGCGCTGTGAGAGCGCAATTCACGGCCGCTCCGCGCGAGGATCACTTTCCTGAACCCGTTTGGTAATCGAAGCTGAAAAACGGTTTAGGAGCTGCCCTCAGAGCCGTACCAAACGGCCCCTACATTCCACAGACATCCACGCATGCACTGATGCGCCACCTCTACATCGGCACACAATATCATTTTTTTTCTGCACCCGTACTGTGAGCAGTGCAATTTCACTTGTGCCGCCGAGAGGCCCGAGACCAGCTGCCTCTTGGTTTGGCTGGATCGTGAAAAAATACTGTTAATAGATTTAGTATGAGAGAAAAATACTTTTTCGGTTAGAAATTTACGATCATTTATGATCGTATAATCCTAGCCGAACAGACCGAAGATTGTCGGGACACGATGAGCAAAGCTCCAAACTTTGCACCGACCAGGTTGCAATGTTGCATTAGAAAAATGTGCTGACTCAGCTTTCGATTCGATCCATCATAGGGAGTATTGGCGAAAATTAAACAAATACGGGACTTGGATTTCCAACAAACTCTAGCCTCTAGCTAGGCCTAAAACCCTATATAAACCCCTACCCGTCGTCGTGCCGGTCATTCCAGTAATCCAGTTGGAATTGCATCTGGAGGTGTCCAGCCAGTCTCCCGCTCTCTGTTGACAAAAGCCGTCAAAGTAGTGTAGTTCAGTCGTTCAGTGTTAAAGGATGGCGTCGACCTCCAGCAGCATGGTCGCATCCGTCGTCGTCTTCCTGCTGCTGCTCGCCGCCTCAGGTGCATGTCCTGCATAGCACGCGCTAGCTAGCTCGTGCCGTACTGTTTGTAGTAGCACGGCGTGCACCGCCGTTGCTTAATTTTATTCGCGCAGAGATGGGGACGACGAGGGTGGCTGAAGCGAGGCACATGCACTGTTTCTCGCAGAGCCACAAGTTCGTCGGCGCCTGCCTGAGCGAGAGCAACTACGAGAACGTCTGCAAGACGGAGGGCTTTCCGTCCGGCGAGTGCAAGTGGCACGGCATAGTGAGCAAGTGCCACTGCAAGCGGATCTGCTAGCCGGCAGTCCCCCCACCGCCGGCTGGCCGGCTCCAATCCGGTTAGCTGCACTGCATGCAGCATTGCAGCAGCATGATCGACCTGCCGGCTGCCGGCCGGTCTGTTTGCGTTTGCTGTTATTTGTTGGCGTTGCGCGTCACCGTCCCTGCTGTGGCGCGCGGTCACCGCCTTACGTACGTGCGTGTCCGTGTGTCTTCAGTTTACTCTTTAGACGTAACGTGGCTGTGAGTGAGTGTGTGTGTGTGTGTCTCGTGAACCGGCTTCACGTGCTGTGGTTTTTACAGTTTCTAATGTGTTTTAGTTACCAGGAATAATAAAGTTTGTCGTCGTGCACATTGTGTTTTAGTTACCTGGAATAATAAAGTTTGGTTGCTTTGCTTTTATCATGCCGCATTGTATCGTGCATAAGTAGAAGCAAGTTGAATGAATGCATCGGTCAAAAAAGAATCAGCCCGTTCGGCTGGCTGGTGCTGGCCAGCCCACTCATACGGACACTGTTTAGCCAGCAGTACTTTCTCACGAACAATGTTATCATCCGAAATAGTGTTTTTCTCTCACACAAACCAACCAGCAGTACTTCCTCACGAACAAGCCGGCCCAGCCGAACAGGCTGAATATTGTTTGGTTGATCGTATGAGCGGTTTGGTTGTAGGCCACTGTGACCCACGCTGCACCTGCGGCAACGCCACTGTTGTGGCTCTGAAAATGGCCACCATAGTCTGTGGCGAGAATCTTGTCGTTTTAAACTACATATTCTCGTGGCCGGCTCCGTTGAGAGTTACCAACCAAATACATACGACTTAGATTTCTGTGGCGACAGAGTTTGACAAAGCATATTGGAACGTTCATGGTCGTTAAATAAATCTCCAAATTATAGATTTTAAGTGACCATGCAACAAGCTATATGTTCCATTGCAATTCTTGAATACATTTTGCACCAATAGAACTGTAGAATCTATACCACCGCATGCATCGCCCCTGAAAGTCTGAACAGCGAGTCTGGATGCGCCTCCTTTCTCACAAATCTAATATAGCAGCCCTTTAGCTTCGAGTGAACCATTCCGTGGACCATGGTCGTGGTCCCCGAGCGTCTATGATCATGTTCGGCTGTGGCTTGTCGTAAATGATCGTAAATTTCTAATCGGAACAGTATTTTTCTCTCACATAAATTAGCCAGCAGTATTTCTTCACGAACCAGCAACGATACGAACCAGCCAAACGAACAGGTTGTATACAGTTTCTTCTTTTGTCTCTCATTTTATTTTTTTTCCTTCCTTTTCTTTTCCCTTTTATCATATTAATGTACACATTTCTCCTATATATACTAATTTTTTAGGTCAAATTTGTCGAGAACAAATTATGTTAAAAGGTTGTGTTAGATAAGTTGTTTATATATATATATACACACACTAGGTAGCGTGCTCGTGCGTTGCTACAGGATAGCTAATATTTCGTACTAAAAACACACGGATCGTACGATAAGATAAAAATACTGTAAAAATTAAATACCAACATTAAAGTGACATTTAATCAAAAAGTAAAGTTTATGAATTAACACAGTCACAGAGTGCGCGGCGTCGCAGACTCACAAACTCTACTTTATAGACCTTTCCGTGATGCGTCTAAGATAATGTTTTATATCGGCAGGAAGAAATCTCCAATATGCATTTCTTTCGTGCGCCAATAAATCTACGAATAAGTTCTGCCGCATCTCCATACCATCATATACACAAGTTCGAGTATATATGTTAATATTGGTGTCTGTCGCATGGGTAATACTGCATCTCTTGAAAAATCTTCTACAAAAACTTAAAACAAAGGGTTATACTCACCGTATAAATATGTGTGGCTTTTGATCTATTCCATACAGACATATACTATAGAATAAGATATCCACTTAAGTGTATGTGGCAAGATTCACGATCAGCAATATGTAGAAATAGTTAAATCATAGGTAAATACCCGTGTATTGCACCAGGAATAAAATATTATTTGACCACCTAAGTGCGGCATAGGCCAACACTCTGACCACTGCAGTGGACCAGGGCGTGTTGCCGTGTACGAAGGCTAAGCTACGAGTAATGCTATCACAGGCTGGATTTGGTTACATCGATTAAGCTCCATGTTATAGTGGGTCACATACCACACCACAATCCATTAATTTGATCCCACACAAAAAAACTTAATCAGTAGTAGGTTTTAGGTCTGCAACAGCAATAAGTCAGAAACTGAGAAGCAGCAGCATTCAACATTCAGCACCCCAGCAAACGCATGCAGTAACATTCAGATTGGAGCAGGCTACCTCATATGTCTACATCACAATTGAAAGCCACGAGTCAATAAGAAAAATTATCCACAGTGAATGACCCAACAGAACAGGAGTAAACTCGCATAGTTTCATGTTGGAGCATGCTGCACTCACATTCCAGTTGCAAGATTCCATGGATGTAATCGCCGACCTTGGCTTCTTACCATCTGTCATCGTGGCCTCATCCTCACCTAAGCTCAACGCCTTAGCAGCGTGGACGTGCCACCTCATGTCGCCAGTGAGGAACTGGTGCCACGGTGCCGCCCCACATCGCACAAGATTGGCCTGCTCTTTTCCCACCTTTCTTCTTCTGAGAGAGTACAGTCTTCCACAAGATAATCTTCGCGAGATCTTGTAAGCATGGTAGCCACTGCTATCTTAGCCTTCTTCTGCATAGTGTTTTATTTTTGTTGTCAGAACTAATAAGGAATAAGAACTAAACATAAAGTCCAGCAGCTGTGATGCTTACTATTAGTGGAATCAAGATATGCAGACAGCATGTAGTAATTTAGTAGGGCAGACTACAAAAAATGTAAAACATATAAAATGTGTTGAACACACAGTGGGAATTTCATACTTGAGCAATTTGATCCATCTTCTCAATTAGAAACTCCGAAAAGAGTTGTGTCTTCGTAACCAGCTCATCTAACTTGCTACACCATGTCTTAGGATCAAAATCAAGTCTTGCAGCTTCCTCCTTCCTGGCTGCTACTTCTTCCTCTGCCTTTAGAGACAATTAGTTTGTCCTGTGAAAATCATAAAGTCCAATTGATAAAGCAGATATTTGACAAGTGTGTTGCCTGCATTAACACAGAGGCCAGAGCAAAAATAGTGATGGGAAGAACTCAGGTGCACTTTTTATAGAAAAATCAGTAACATAACAGTTCACTACTGGTCTCCCAACTATTACTTTTCGCATATGCCTTGTTTTTTCTTTCTGAGAATACTCATAGGACCATTTTTCACACTTTAATAGTGTAACCCATCTTTTTTGAGACAAAATCAGTTACAGCTATGATTGGTATGGATTGCATCAGTTAAATTGTTATTTGGACACAGAAAGATGTGCCCACTGAGCAACAAACATAACAAGCAGAGCAAGTTAGGGAGATGCAAACTTGCAAAGATCTATGCTCCATTACATAAGTTTTGGTCCATACAGCAATTGGAGGCAAAATCACATGGTGAATGTACCAATAGTTCATTCATGCAACGATGATTCAAAAACTTTGCATTCAGAATGACCAAATAATGATCTAGACGATATCAATACACCTACAGGGCTGCTAAATCATTACCGATGGGCTGCAGGGCACATTGAAAATGTACAGCTGCAAGGCTTTTCACCTCGTTTCTTCAGAGTTTAAGCTGTAGCCTGAATAAATCCTGACACCGGGTTAGTGGAAGGATCAGGAGCCAAACAAATTGTCAATTTTTTTCACACTTGCGTTATTAATCTAATTTCCTAGACATCTAATGAACAAAGCCTACTTTCCTTGTATGTATGTAGTGTTTATTATCTAATCTAGATAGAAAAGCATGCCGCAAAAACAAACAATTCCTTGTTCAGGAATTCCTAGAGTAATTCGACACAAAAATTGCACAAAGGATCTTTCGAAAAAAAATGATTTTGAGTAAGATGCAAAATCGAGTTGCAACAGCTAGCCGATTAAATGCTAACTTAAAATAATCTTAACTGCCGACATAGAGACAGATTAAGACCTTCAGACCTTTTCCCCTCTTCAGTGGTTACGCTGAACCGGCAGAGGGTGGTTGAATCCCCCACAGAGGTTCATGTACGGCGATGACGACGGGCGAGGGCCGTGCCATGGCGAGGACTGCGCAAGATCCTGGCGGGTGAGGGCGACGACGGCCATGCGTCGAGCGAAACTGTCGGTCGGATGAGGGATGCCGATTCATTCGCGCCGTGGATGGAGTGACAGGCGGACAAATCGCGGGGGGCAAGCCGGATGACGATTCATTTCTTCTCTCGCTCGCTCCTTTCCTTTTCTCGCTCGCGCGTTGGATAGCGGACGTGGGAGCACCGGGCCCAGCTGTCGCGCGTGGATGCGAGGTGATTCACCGGGTGGGCTTTCACGCGAGGCGAGATGATTTGCCCAGTCAATGATTTCCCCTCCATTGTTAGATGCCCTTCATCTCAACTTGGAATGTTCAACCTAATGGGGTGAAAAATAGTTATATCTCAATAGTAGTCAATATCTCAACATTAGCTAAATTTACAGAGCGGGGGTACACAATGATAATATTCAGAGAACATGAAACTGACAATGGTAGTAAATTTGTTTTGATGACCAGATAAGTAGAGACATTATCCAGTTGATGAAACAAAACAAAAGGAAACAAAAGGTGAAAATTTGTTGGGCTTACACAAGTATTGGGAGAAAACACCATAATCCACATGCATATAGACCTGGCTGAAGGGAGCAAAACAGATGAAGCTGGACTGCAAACCATAATCATCTGCAAAGCACAGAGATATGAGATGCGACATAATATCCATATATGAGATGCGACAACTGCAACAAACTGACTGAAGAATATACTCTGTTTATCAAAATCTACTGGTTCTATTTGGCTAATCCACAACAGACACATTTTTCTCGACTTCCAAATCTTTCAGAGGATGGGAGCTTCTAAAAAATTCTATAACCATGTTCTTTTATTTGGGCATACCATTCACATCAAAATCAATTTTAAGATTCAACTCTCAAATCTGAAATAAATCCTGCTGGCCTTATCCTCAGTCACTCACTCGATCAGCACAAAGTTTGGACATCAAATAGTATATTCATGAACACATCAAATTGCCAATGAAGATTTTCTTCCTAGATCTCATCACCGCACAAAAAAATCCACGAAAATCCAAAATCCAATCGATCAACAAAGCAACAAAATAATAATGATTCCGATGAAGAACGAGTTCTACTGCTTTCCCAGTGCGTCGCAACCTCCATGGATCGGCTGCAGATTGGGAGCCGCCGCTGGGACCGGGAGTTGAGCCACCTCTGGCTGCTACTTCTAGAGAGGGTGGCGGTGCCACAAGTGGATCCACCTTCGACCAGAAGGCAAGAGAGGCTAGGCACGGGAGACGTCATCCGCGCGGAGATGGCCGCACCTTCATCGGGAAGCACCATCCGCGCGGGGATAATAGACTGCTGACCTGCCGTTGCCTTAGGTGGATCTGCCGAGACGCAAACTCGAGGAAGAGCAGGGGGCTGGGTGGCTGCCGCAGCCACCGGTGTATGCCGCCATGGCTGACCGACTTGAGGAAGAATAGAGGCGGCCTGGAAGGCGCCCTTGCCCCGCCTGGTGGCCGACGCCCTTGCCCTGGTGGCTTGCCTCGCTCGCGTTGGACTTGCTGGCCTTCTCGGAGCTCCCGCCTACGGCAAGCGCCTCCACCTCAGCCGTGCTGACCCGCCGACGGTGGCGCGAGCGTGGAAGAGCGCGAGGGGAGAGGGCGACAGTGGTGCGGGGTGCGGGGATGGGGATGGGGAGCGGCATGCACGGCGGCGGCCCGTGGGATCCAGCGGGGTGTGGGATCAGCGAGGACGACGACGGCGTCGAGGTGGGGTGGGGATGGATCCATCTTAGGGGGGTGGGGGGTGCGGTGATTGCGGCTTTCCATTTTTTGTGCGACTTGCGTGTGGACGGGAGCCGCGGTATCGCGTGGGCAGAAAGTCATATAAAAAGTCTCCACGCTTTGTTTTTTTAAGTTGTACGAGATATATTTGAAAAAGCATTAACGAAGAAACTTAGGCCCCGTTTGGCAGGGCTTCTCCAGCGGCTTCAGGAGCCGTTTTCTGCCAAACGGGGTAAAATGAAACGGCTCTACCGATGAAGCCCCTAAAAACGTGCTCTCACAGAATTTTGGTGTGGGAAGGAGCCAAAATAGTGGCTTCTCCCGGCTCCTCCTCCAGGCCCCTAAAAACATGCTCTCACAGGGAAGCCATTTTGCCAAACGATTTACCAAAACCGCTTCAGCTCCACCGGTGGAGCTGTTCGTGGAGCTGAAGCCAAAAAAAAAATAGCTTCACTAGTGAAGTGAAGCCCTGCCAAACGGGGCCTTATGTTTTAAGTTACCTTATTTGTAAAATTTGTTATATAAAAGTTATGCTAAAAAAGTTATGTTAGTAAATTGTCACATAAATTTGTCTATCGATAATTATGAACAAAAGTTGGGTTTTAAAACTCATGTAGAAAAGTTGTCATGATAAGTTGTCTATAAAATAAAATTATATTAAAAACATGATGATTATCGGTTGTGGATTGTGGGAGATAAGTTATATGATGTAAAATATTACTCCCTCTATCTCTAAATAAATCAATTCCTAAAATCTGTGCCAGTCAAATTTTTATTAAAAGTTTGACTAACTTTATATCAAAGAGTAACAACATATATAACATAAAATGAGTACCTTATGAAAATATATTCTATGATAAATCTAATGAAACTAATTTGATACTATAAATCTTAACATCTTTTTCTAGAAATTCGATCTAAGTTTAAAAGTTTGACTTAAGACAACTCTACGAATCTATTTATTTAGGGATAGAGAAGGTATGTACAACAGTTGTACAATAGTGTTGTAGTAGTTTTCTAAAAGAAGAAAGTTGCCAAAATATTGTTTTCAAAAAGGAAAACTCGCCGGATTATCTGGTCGTTAACATTTGTGGAGCCGCTTTTTTCTGATTCCAGTCAGGCTTAAATCATTGCTGTAAAAAAAACAAACGGGCATCTAAGCATACCGACCAATCCTCACGAAATAGAGTTGTAGGTACCGGGAAAGCTCGCTCCCACTTGCATGCAAGCGCATCATTGTCCGATGTGGATGTCAGGATGTGTGCGTCGAGCTCGACGGCCGCTGGGCACTGGAATCTGTCACGCTGGTGCCTGGAGGCTGGAGGTAGTGACGTTCGTCTTTGTGACGACAAGGAAAAGCCCGGATCTGGCCCTTCTTCCACGATCAAAGTCGACTACGACGACCAGTATTCGAGCTGCAGCATCCATGATGTAATGGCTGAAATTTAAGTGTAGTAGACTTTTCTTTCTTTCTTTTTTTGTTTGTGATTCCGAAGTACAACGTAGGCATCATACCCATATGAGCGTCTTCCGAGACTGAACCGATAAATCCTCGAGTTTAACGAAATTACTATAGGCGTCTCACTGTCGATGGCAACGTCGCCTGCCAATTGGTTCTGTTGAAGAATGCACGACCACATTTGCTAGTAAATTTAATGTAAAAATTATATTTTATAAAATCCGATAGAATTATGATATTATAATCAAAATTCTACGAGCTGAAACTATGAGGCAAGAAAAATATCCTGCCAGAATCTCAATATTCCTAGCCATCTTAGTTACGCCTGATTGCCTGCATGCCGTACATTGTCGGCACCAGAAACCGTGAAAGCTCAATATTCCTAGCCATCTTAGCCATCTTAGTTACGCCTGATTGCCTTGCCAAGTTGCAACCGGGGCCTACTGGGTATGATTGGAAACGCATTGATTGGGACAACATTTTAAATGATGCTCACACCCTCCACTAAAGAATGCAATTATGAGATGCATGGAAGTCAAACTAGTTTAACTTTAACCGAGTTTACAGTAAATATTATTCAATTATGTCTCCAACTAAGTTTATTATGAAACTATATTTCATAATTAATTTAATGAAATTTATTTTTATTATAATTGTTAGAGAACTTTTATATAATTTTGGTCAAACTTAAACTACATGAGGATGAGGATGTCATAGGGTGGAGGCTCGGTAAAAAGGGGCAGTTTTTTTCCGTCAAATCCATGTATGATGCACTGACTTGCAATGAAGCAGGCTCCTCGTATAAATACATCTTGAAAAGTTCCTTCAAAGATCAAGATTTTCATGTGGCTTATTGGAGAATAATGCCATTCTTACTAAAGACAACATGATAAAAAGGAAGTGGAAGGGGGATCCATCATGTTACTTCTGTAATCAACTTGAAAGCATTGCTCATCTATTCTACTCTTGCAGTGTAGCTAAAATAGTTTGGACCATAGTTGCCTTAGCTTGGTGCTAATGATATTCCCAGCTCTCCTCAACAGTGTTGGAAATGGTGCAAGAAATGGCTCTATGTTTTTGGCATCGTTGCCACCTGCTGGGCAATTTGGAAAAGCCCCAAATAAGACCTGCTTTGAGTGCAAATTAATTCACTATCCTGCATAAATAGTGTGCCATGCTAGTGCTATTATGCGCTTTTGGACAGGTCTACATGCTGACGGCGATTAGGAGATGTTGATAGATTGGGAATTCAATCAATGTTCGAACAAGATTACGCCAAAATCAAGAAAACCATATGGAACGTCCATGGGAGGGATTACATGCATGCTTAGAGTTATGTCGGACATCATCGTCTTGGCATGCCCATAAACAAAACTCATCAAAAAACTTTTGATCCCCACGCTACCCCCACCCCTTCTCTATGCCTCGTCATCTTTGTCTATCTTCTCATCTCTATGCCTCGCCATCTCTATCTATCTTCTTGTCGTGGCCCTAAGTTCACAGAGTCGCTCTTCCCCATGTTTCTGGTAATAAAGTTTTGTCATCAATATTGGCACTGAGAAAGGAGAAATAACTTGATTCTAAAGATCAAGGATCAAAACTGACTTGTAGTGACTTAGGGGAGGAACATATTCCGATAATCAAGTTTATGAATAAACCATGAAAATCATATCGCTTTTTTATATCTTACGTACAATTGATCCATCAATTCCTTGATGCGTATGCGTAACAATCCCAATAGTAGCATAACAAATATGATTAGAATTCCTTTTCTTTCTTCGCGAGAAGCTGGTGACGATACTAAACAAGCATGGTTATAGAATGGATAACAATAGTGTATTAGAGTGGCATGGGTAACAGGCTCTAAATCAGCAACTTGTTGTCATTAGTGATGGTTAAAAAGCTTGTTTATAGAGGCTTGAGGCATCAATAGATTTTGGCATGAGGATAGCTCAGGTAGACATGATGTCATTATGATGAATCAAGCAAAGTTTTAGGGTAAAAGGCAACTACATATTCACAAGAGATGGTGACCTTGTTTGGGACAGCTTAGTTTGCCCATGCTTAGATTCAGAGCTCGATTTCTAGGTGTCGGGTTCATGAACCCAGGGTCCCTCGGGGACCGGCTTCCACGTCAGGGCTCAGCCCAAGAAAACAGCATGTAGTCCATGGGCCGGCCCAAGAGTCTAAGAAACAATGGGCCGGGAGGACAGTCCGGTCGCCGACTGGGAGGTCTACCCAAAAGAACAAGCGCCCAATCTTCAACTTCTCCGGCCCACCTCTCCGACCGGAGCACTCGCTTCAGGCACCGGCCGCCTCCAGGCGGTCCCTCCGATCGAAAGGCCTGGCCCAAAACGTTGCTTCCTACTCCGACCCCGCGACTCCGACCGGGGACCCGTAGGAAGCTGCGTACCACTCTTCTCCGACAGGCGCGGCCAGGGCCGACTGGAGCCATCCGACCGGGGACGCCCGCTCGGAAGGGACCAGGGGCGGACGGAAAAGGCAGCGCACAAAGTCAAACCACGATACCGGGACCATGCCCTGGACGCCTGCGGGAATAGTGCTCCATGACCGCCCTGACACAAACAGTATTGTAGGCGCCGACATTTGTGTCTACAGTATTGTAGGCACTGTTGTACTCCCGCACGGCAAAAAGCCCCCTACTTGCCTCTGGGCATCGATAGTGGGCGTCAGGATTTACCATACCTGGTACACGTGGTGGGGCTCCTCACATACCAATAGTATTTTGCAGGTACCGACGTCCACCCTTTCTGAAGAAGCCAACGCAACCTCCCCTATGCACCTGATGTTCTACAGTGACATCAACAGTATTGTGGGCGCCTACCATCATCACTGTCCTCATCGGCGTGGGCAACAAGACTTAAGAAACATCCGTACTCTCTTCCTCTCACCTATAAAGCCATCCCCTTTATCTATAAAAGGGGGTGCGCTCCTCCAACAAAGGAGGACGACTTCTTCAAGTTCAGACTCACTAGATCGATAGCTCACAACCCCTCAAGCACACGCTTAGACTTCTAGCTCAGAGCGGAGTTCCGGTCGCCCTCGGCCCTTCCGGTCGGACCCGACCGGGCCTCTCGTACACCCCTCCTTTCTCCTTCTCGTTTGTAACCCCACTACAGACTTTGAGCACCTGGGCTCAGGAATAAAGTCACCGACCGACCCTGACTGGACGTAGGGCACGTTGCTCGAACCAGTATAAATCATGTGTCATTGAGTGCTAGGCCACCTCCGATCACAATGTACAACAAAACTACAAATATTCATTAGTTGGTCACTTTCTGTACCGACAGTTGGCGCCGTCCGTGGGGAAGACGATGTACGTTCAACACTTTTTGGTCATTGAATGGCCCATTTTTCCGCTACCCCCGCCACGGCGGGCTCGGGCGATACGATTCGCTTCGGCTCGCTGGAGTATCCCGCGCTCTCGCCCGCCGGGATGCA